ATTCAATTACGAACCTAATATAAATTACATTTTGCGGTCACACAAAACCATTAACGGACATAAAAGGCTTCGGTCTTATTAATAATGACAAGCGGTTACCCTCATTATTGTTTAAAACCTTACTTTATGCACGCACGTGACTGCGTCCGTACAAACCACTACAATAATACACGAAAGGATAGGAAACCTTACCGTGAGATCAATAATAAATACACTCAAACAATTTGTGAATGAAGAATGGTAATTTATTTAAAATTTTATTATTTTTAAGTGACTTTGGGAAAACTCCGATTTTTCAATCGATTTTGTACAGGATGAAAAGAAGGAGGTCCTTGATTCGATTGTATTTTTTGTTTATGTTTGTTGTCTTATAAGTCCGTCAGTTATAAAGCGATTTGGAAAATCTTTTTTAAGGATTGGATGGATATTCTGACAGATAGGTTCCGTAGAAATGTTATGAAAATTGGTCTTTTAGTTTTAGTAATTTAGTTTCGAAATCAAAATATTTACTATACTTAGTTTTGCAACAGTAGACGTTGTTTTTTTTTTTTTTTGTTGAACACGATCTTAAATGATTTATATATCTTGGTACGTTACGAGATTTTTTCATTTAAGAGGTTCCTCATGTCGGGGCAACTAATTAAACTTTTGCAGCTAGGTTCTTTATATAGCGTAGGTGTTCATCTATAAGAAAGTAATTTTGAAAATTCAACCCCTAATGGAGTTAACTTTCTAAATTTACGCGTACAAAATCACGGGGAAAAGCTAGTACTATACTAGTACTTTTGCTTTTAATATTTACCTGTACAGCATTTGCTCTTTGAATTTACAGTAAAAACTGTAAATTTTAAATTAGTATACTCGTATTATCAGTACAATATTATATGAATGTCTACGAAACATCTCGTCGTCCCTCAGTGTGTTTGTGTATTTATATGTTCTCAACTGTAATCACTTTTTGAGCAAAACATTAATGTCTAAGAACTGAAGTGCATTTCCTCACCGAAAAGTCAGCCAGAAATTGATATACATATATATATATATGTATATCTATGTATAGACATATCCCGTTATTCATAACAAATTAAAACCTCCTACAAAACTATTACAGTGTTTTGTCATTTTCTTTTAAACTAAGCATTTAGCACAAGAAAAAAGACAAAACAATTCAATAACTAAAATTCGTTTGACATTTTTAAGAACTTGAAGGATGGTATTTGGCATCAGCCAGACACAAATTCACTATCTTTAGGATCTGCAAGTTGGGATAGTATGCCAACTAAGCCACTACACTCTTAATATTGTGAGAATCCAATAGTTTTCCTTTCACAATGATTTACCACAGTCTTTGTTCATTTCACTGTTCCTTTGAGCTAACTATTCTGATTACTCCAGTTTCTACTTTGGATATTCAAGACTTGGTAAACTTTGTGCTTGAAACTTATTTGTATTACTAGGATGTTTTGTGGTGTGTTTAAATAGATACTAACTGATGCATGCGACTTCGTCTGCTTAGAATTTCTCACTTGAAACATTTCTCAAATGAGAGATACATTTCCTGTAAGAGATTGATTCTTTATATAATTTTTCACCCCCTATTTTACCCTCTTCAAGTTTTATATTCGTAATAAAAAGTAGCCTATGTTCTTTTGCCAAAATAAATACTAAATTATAAATATGAGAGTAAGTCTTTTTAACCAATTTTAAAATGAAAGAGGTTCTCAATTCGCTTGTATTTTTTATGTTTATTACCTTACTTTGTCAATTCTAAATTGATTTGAAAAATTATTTTTTTTTTCCAAAGAATATACTTATAGATTGGTACTATAGAAATTTTATCAAAATTGGTTAATTTTTAGACCAAAATAACTGGTTTAGTCGGTTTTTTTTTTGAGCCAGTACTGTTTCATAGATTGTTGTTGAATTGACTAATCGTTATAACATATAAAATACTAGAGATTTGGCCCGAATTTGCATGAGTAAATAGAATTTTCAAAAATAATATTATTGCCTCTGTTAATCATTGATAATATTATAATCTTTTGAATTGTTTTTAAGTTTATTCATTACAAACAAACAATCAAATCTTTCCTTTTTATAATACTAATATAGATATATACCATATTATAATATTTATCAATATTACAAGACCTGTACTTGTTATTTCTCGAGATATGTGCGGCAAAATTTTTCTCATACAAATACCACACTAATCAAATTCCTGAGGTTAATAACACTGGGTTATACCCAAAATCTGTATTTTGTGCATTCAGTTTTTATGATTCCTAATTTCGAAATTAATACAATTTTTAAATGCAATCGAATCTTAATACGACGCGATTACAAGTACCTATCTGATTTATCGAAATTTAAAATTGACTATAGGTAGATAGATAATTTATTTACATTACTTACAGCACACAAATTACAATACAAACATACTCTTAATACACAATAAAAGAAATAAAGGAATGAAAATAAAAAAAAGCAATAAAAAAAAAAGAGCAAAATATATAAAACAACAATTTCCTTTTTTTCATAATAGCAAAATGGTCACAACTCAATTTATTGCTTTGCTCACAAAAGAGCAAAACACTGATATTCTGTTGTGGCCAAGAGTCAGTCGCGAAATTCCTTATTAAAATAATAATAAAAAGAAATATGAATAAAATGCATTGTGTGTCCATTACATTTGCCTCCGTTTGATATTATATTCTAAATAAATAAATAACAAATACCATTAGAATTGTTTTTTTTTAATTCACTTACGAGTATTATCTACATATATAACTATTTATTAAACAAAACCTTATGTATTAAAATATTTGAATGAACAATGTGCATGGCGTTACTTGATTTTTAAAGATCTTGCAATTTTAGATATATGTAGTACACTTAAATAAATACATGTAATGTTAACAGAGATTTAAAAGAGTAACTGTTGAGCTTCTTGCGGGCTTTTCTCAATCGATGTCAACTTTCCGAACCCTGCATTCATAAAAATGTGACGATTTAAAGTGCTTGTAAACAAGTCTATTTGAACAAAGATGATTTAAATTTTAAATTTTATTGTTATAAATGTAAAAGTGAGATGGATTTTTTTTTGTCACTTTAATGCCTCAATCAGCCTATTCGTATATAACATTTGTCATGGCATGAAAAAGGACATAAACTGCCTTTTTTCTCAGTCACATGAATCAAGTCGCGAATCCAACTAAATAAAAAAATAAGTATCTATTAAAACTTTTTAATAACAAAAAAAAAAACTTATTTTCATTAGAATAGAATAGAATAAATATTTATTGAGAACTGTACATTATAATAATTCATAAGATGTTCATTACGTTTTAAAGGAAATTTACACAGCCCGCCCATACATCGAGCATATAAAACAGTTACATAACATTATTGATTTTATAGCTATACAATTAATCGCATTATTGCTATGTAACTAATTATACCTGAATATTTATCAACCGACTTTAAAAAGTAGAAAATATTTAATTAGGTTATATTTTTTAAATGTTTGTTATACCGTCGATTGTAAATCAATGTGTTTTTTATACATTTAGAAATTGGTCTCATAGAAACTTTATCAAAATCGGTTCAGCAGTTTAGTCTTTAAATCAAAATTACCGATTTTGGAATTGAGTTCTCTTTTTTGTAATAATTTTAAATCATTACACCACAAAACAAAATAACAAACAAATTTGAAAGGGCATGAAGGTCCTCGAAGTATATTTTATCTTTTTGAAAGAAGAGGGCATAAACTCTTCAAAGAACAATGAATAGAAGTGAGAAATTTTTTAGTGTTTCTAGTATTTTTGATAATGGGCTGCGATGATCATTTAACATTAGGTTATCTGCATATAACAAGCTTGTTTGCATACTTTCTTATAAAAAGTAAATAATTAAATATTCCAGATTGACCAGGGATGTTAAAAAATTATTACATGAATCATAATAGAATTAATTTTGTATAACCCGCCAAGTTTGATAGGCCTCTCGCTTTGAATGTGTAATATTAACGAACTAGTACAGCTTCATAGGCGGGTTATATGTGCTTGATATTATTAGAAAAACACCGGTACTCTTCCACAATCAAGTTAGTTGTAATAAACACCTAACCAGTTAATGCATTTTATGTATTAAATTAACTGATTAGTTATAATTTAGTCGTATAGACATAAGTTAATGCAAAGGTTCTTTTACATATGTTGTTTTAAATACCTCAGGGTTGCCAAATGCTATTTGTTATTTTATACGGTTGTATGCGTAAGTTTGTGAGGTTGTATGCATGGAAAGATGTTTATTATTATTTTGAAAAAAAAAAAATCTATAATTAATTTTTACCATATATCGTTGTTATTCAAAGATATATGGTAAATATTGCTAGTTACAAGGTTTCTACTATTTTAAAAATACAACATTAAATATTACTCATTTTTTGTATTTAGATAACACTAGCGATCCGGCCCGGGTGCGCACAGATAGACAGAATTTTCGAAAATAATAAGAAGCAAATCTATTTGCAATAATATTATAGACTAGCGATCAGACTAAAATTAGTTGTTTTTAAGTTCATTCATTATAAACAAAGAAATAATTAAATCTTTCCCTTTTATAATATTAATATAGATGTATAGAAACACTCTATCTAGATATTTTAAACTAGGCACTTACATATTTTCCAAAGAAAAGTTTGAAAGTAATTGAACAATTTTTAAGTAATTGATCAAATATATTGTAAGAAATAGTACTAAGTATCCAATTAAGAAACAAGAATCTGGTATTAAATGACATGCCCTATAAAAGTCACTAGTTTTATGGAAAACCCGTCTTTTACCATCAGGGTATTTTATAAATGTAGAAAAGTACGTCATCACACTTGCATATACGTCAAATATCTCCATCTCATTCTAATTTATAACGCATTTTAATGCTATCTCTATTGTTAATTACTTATTAATGTATTCCTAGAGTTTTATATATATAAATCTGTGTAAACAATTCTTAGTCGTGTTTACACACTTCGGTGGATAAAGACGAGTAGTGACCATATAGTGTGATTAAAAAGGTTATCATTAATGGACTTCAATATTAAAATCTAATTTGTATGAAACGTAAAAGAGACATTCAGTCATTTATTGTGGTGATAAAGTGAAGTTTTATTATTAAAAAGGTGGGTGATGAAGTGTTTATTCTATTATTAATATAATAAAAATGAAAGTAATGGATGTTTGTCATTCTTTCACGCAAAAACTACTCAACAGATATGAATGTAATTTGGTACACTGATAGATTATATCTTAATTTTGCACATAGAATATTTTATGTACTTACTGATTGACTTGAACAAAGTTGTGGAATACAACTAGCTAATAATGAATAAATATACACGTATAAAAGAGATCTTAAAATGAATTATTGTTATTTTGTTTTTATTTCATATTGTGGCATTTGTAGGGTTATTATATATATTTTTTTATTAATTATAGTACATTGACCTACATGGATATTTAGGAATTAGAAAATTTGATAATATAATTGAGATTTGATAATATAATGAAAAATATATATAAATAATAAAATGAATAAAAATTGTTAAAAATTATTTTAAGAAATAATAAATAAATCAATATTTTTTTTTTTACTATAACCTGAGTGATATTACAGAAAATATAATATTATATTATTGATAATACATTTCTAAAAGACTAACTGTGGTTGCCAACTCGCCTGCCAAGTGTGGCAACTACTGGCAAAACTCCTCTTATGGGGAAGGCTTATGTCCAGAAGTGGACAGTTAACGGCTGAAATAATAGTAATAATACTCTATTAATAGTAACATGTTTGCTATTATGTATATATTTGTTGTTTTATTTTTAAAGATATAAATCCGAGCATCTACATAATTATCTTTAAAATTGATAAGGGGAAGTCACATGCCATGATTATTAAATAACCTTTTAGAGTATATACGATATATTAAATTATAAATATTTATTGAGTGTGTACAATTTGAGACTTACTCATAAATGCAATCTGTAAATAATGAGAATTGATAATGTTAGAACAATTGATTTATTAATTTGGTCATTAGGTAGACATTTGTTTTTTTTTTTTTTGTATTTTAAAATACGTAGTAGCACTTTATATTTTAAAATTATACACCTGTTTCAACTACGTTTATACTTAAAATGAAATATTGGGTTATGCACCATGTTTTTTTTATGCAACTTAGAATGGCAAACAAACTGACGGTCCACCTGATGAAAAGTACGAGTAATAACCGTCGCCTATAGACATGAAAAGTACCATGGACATAAAGTATACTGTTTCGGCCAAAATAACCCCATGCGTTGCCAATCCAGAGGACCCAGGTGTTATTCCTCTGTACCCTGTAAATTCACTGTCATATCCCACCCTTTAAACCGAAATACTGCCATGCAAACAACTGCTTCACGGTAGAGACACGAATGGGACAGAGGTACTCAAGCAAACGACTTTTGTACAAAATCTCCCTCTGGTGCATAGGCATGTAAATAATTAACTTCCTGACAATTATGTCAACATTAGTATATTTGTTAGTATTTATATATAGAATAATGTTCTACTTATACTTATTTTATATTTCATTTTCTATAAGCATTTGGTATCCAAAAAATCGTTTGTATATGTTTCTACACTACGAAGCCAAAAGGGTTATGAGTCAAAATATTTACGTATGAAAATCCATCGGCGTAATAAAAAGACGTATAAATCCTTTTCATCCAATATCAAAAATGTCATAGCTCCCAAATGGAATGGAAAATTTCAATAGTATTTCCTACATAAAAAATATTTTAATTGGATAATTCTTTGCTATTTTTCCCTATTTTTTGATGAATGAATATCTGATATATTCATTTACACAGTTTATTTTACACTGATTTGTTGTTCCTAACTTTGTCCAAATTAATTAGTATATATAAATATATATGTTAAATATTTTTATCTGGATAAAACTGTATATACTATTTAAACATACTAAAACTAAAAACAGAATACTTCTACTAACTACTAAAATCCAATTATACTTATATAAATGTTTTAAGATGAGCAATCGATTGTCAGTAATGGGGATTAGCGGTCCCATTACTAACAATGTATCCTATCAAGTCGACCTCCACGCGGTCCTCCTGGAAACCATTTTGGTTAATTCTTTGCGAATTTGTCACTATTGGCCAACTGACCTGTTTTCATCCTCGTCTATCACCTCTCACTGGTGCCCCACCAGCATATATCAATAGCGTGGGTGAGGCTACCATTCCATTACCACTCATTGCAAAAAAAAACCTAATGTTGCATAGATTGTCACCTCTTACGATGCCCACGGAAAAGGAAGGGCACCCATTCTATACCGGGATCACACAACATAGAATGGGGCATTTCGGAACACACTGATATAATTTTGTAATTTCTTTTCAGATATAAACATGAAGAGTACAATTTTCTTCACCGTATCAGTTCTGGTAGTCAGTTGCTTCGCCCAAAGGTCACCCTACGCTGGGAGACTTCCTATTGGTTATCCAATTATGGATACCACTAGTACCACCGTCAGTGATTTAGACAACAGGTGGGCTAAAATTGTATTTTCATCATTAAAGACTTTGTGTATCAATTTATATTTCCAAATAACTCTCCAGCGATGAACACTGACAACATACTAAATTCATCTGAATAATGGTGATAAGCTCATCCAGCACCAGATTGCAGTTAACTGAGAGCAGGCCATTCGGATGTATTGTATTATATTTTCGTTTACTTTTTTAATCCAAATTTCATTAACAAGTTCTATACATGCAGATTTCAACGGCAGTTTCTTAGACTAATATAATAGAAGTTTAAAAAATAAATTTACATATTTTTTTATTATTATTTCAAAATAAATTATTAAATTTTGTTTTTACAGATTCGGTGAAGATGTACCAGTCACCACGGAGAGATTACCAATCGAAGCCAACGGCGATAGAGAACTAGTAAACCGATTGAAGAAATTGCCTATAGACCAACAACCGTTCTGGTTGATCAATTGGCTTCATCTGGAACAAATGAGGCAAAATCCACAAACTTACCAAAGTAAACCAAATACTTTCATAGATTTAGTGCCAAGTCAAAATAATCAGAATATCAACGGTCAATTATCTTAATTCGATTTTCAAAAATTCTAAAGATGAGAGTAATTGAATATGTATTTTTAAAAATAGACTTTCTTTATTGAAGATTATTTATAATATTCTCACTTTCGATTGAACAGCAACTACGTAATTAATGTATAGCAAACTATAACAGAATAATTTGTCAAATATGTTTATACACATATACTCGTATACTAGATAATACCTGTATATTTATATGGGAGATATATAAAACAATATATGAAGTGTTAATAATACGAGTAATAAGAATAACAGTATTTTTAGAAATTTTGTCTGTCTGTATGCTTGTTCTAGCATCGCGCACAAACTACACAACGAATTTAGACGAATTTTAATATTTAATGAAATTTTTAAAAATTGTTGTTTGTAAAAACGAGTCTTCTATTTATTTATTTATTTATATAACATATGAAGTGTTAATAATACGAGTTATTCTGTCTGTATGCTTGTTCTAGCATCGCGCACAAACTACACAACGAATTTAGACGAATTTTAATATTTATTGAAATTTTTAAAAATTGTTGTTTGTAAAAACGAGTCTTTTTATTTTTTATTCTTCAATTATCTATTTTTATCTCTCATATAAATTTATCTTATATATCTGTACAGTCATCGTTTAGTTACAGTTTTGATTATATTAGTAGGATGTGATTTAACTATTTGGAAGTATTGTTAATTGAATTCTTTATTATATTAGAGAATTCAATTTTATAATAAGAAAGAATTAATTTTATTTGATATACAATTATTTTCGATATTAAATTAAATCAGTAATAAATTAAATTTTATCATTTATTTTTTTTTAATAAAGTTATTAAAAACATGATGTAATTAAGTAATTACGTAAGTACGTGAGAAAAAATTAAACAATATATTTGAAAATTATTTTATTAATTAACATCAAATAGTTTTAAATATTCGATTAGATAATCAAGATACTGGAAAGTTTCTTTACATATATGGGTATATATTACTTGTCGTCGTTATGTACTTAATGCTTTATACTGTCTTTTATACAGTTTGTTTTATACAGTATATTTATACAGTCCTTTGTATCATTCACCAATCAAACGTATTTAGCGACAAGGAATTAACTAACGTGTGATGGAATCTAAAATGAGGGTAGCCATAAAAGTGACCTGCGTAATCCGTAAGATCAGCAAACTGGTAGAAATGAATCCACCACGTAGCGAGGAAGTTATAGGGAAAATGTTTCTGAGTTGTGATCCCTTACGTTAATCGCAGATTAGGGTGACAAGGTCGGGAGCGACGACCTTAAAAATGTTACAGAATTTCGATCGAAACAGAAAAGGCTCGGCTCTTCTAGACGATTGGTGAACGAATCTAACGACAGATATGTTTCTGTTATCGCATGTATACGATGGAACAAGAGGGTAAAATTTGGCATCCTATTATATATATATATATATATATATATATATATATATATATATATATATATATATATATATATATATATATATATATATATATATATATATATATATATATATATATATAACAAAATATAGTCTATGTTATTAAAAACAAAATTAATTTATAAGGGTTAAAAATATTTTGTGTATATTTGTATATAAAATTACAAATAAACATTTTTACACTCATTAAACTTTTTTAATATCTTAGACACAGTTTTGTTAAATGTGTTTCATTTATTCTTTGCAATAAAACCGACTATATTTAGAAGTGGTTGATAGATAAATTGAAAAGATGTCAATGAATTTGTCTGTAATCTGTATCAATACAGCTTAATGGAAAGGTAATCAAGTTTAGTCGATATTATCACTGAAATAATCCTTAAGCTAAATTAGTAACACATCGAAATATTCAATCAGTTAATCGATCTTTTATTAAGCACTATTATTGCACGTCAGTAGACTGTGTAATGGTCAGGTCACTTATTCTTTTATCAACATTTTCATTAATTATATTAAAACAAACTGTACCTATCTACATTAATTAAATTAATTTATTGTTTTGATTAAAGTACTATTTTAAAAATGAGAATTATTAAAAATGTTGCTAAAGATAACCTCTTTGATAGAAATTAATAGACATCAAATTTAAAAATGACTGATTTGGAATCAATTATATGTAGTTACGTAGTGATTAGTGAATAATATTAACATTATTTTGTTATAGTAATTAAATATTACAGATTACATAAATTTAAACATTTAATTTTAATTAAATTTAATTAATTAATTAAATTAATTAAACGGTTGGACAAATAGTTAATAGCAAATGCTTTATATATGTGGAAATATATATTTAAGAACATGAAAATAACATTCAAAACCATTACCGACGAACGATTTTTGCTCTCTCATCTGGCAAATAATTTTAATTTATAATAATTTACATTTCATATTTTTATATTTTAATAAGGTTTTTTTTTTTAATGAGACTAAGTATTGTGCCAGGCGGTTTAATTGTTTTGCTTAATATAATGACGCATTAAATTTTTTGATGAATTAATGTTTGTAGAAGTATTCAAATGATTTATCCATAACATTGAGGAAAATAAATATTTTGATATTTATACTTGGCCTTGAACTTTTTTTCTTAGAACCATTTCCTGCTATATACACCGTATTTTGTCCTCTTGTATATATATACCTAATTATAAAATTTTCGTGCCTTCGACTAAATTGTTTATAATTACTCATCTCCATACAAATGTTGCCTGAAAGAGATTGCTTTGGCAATGAGGTCGCCCATTGTTTAGTCTGTGTGATCTGTTTCTTGTAATTTTTGTTTTTGCTGAATATTTTACTTTAATCTTTTGGAGGAAATAATGAAGAGAACTATCTTTCTCTACAACTTAAAAAAATAAGAGGTTATATTTACGCCATAGATTATATTTCTGAACCGATTTCCATTTATATAGAATAACAAACAAACTTATAGCCTTCCTGATAGTAAGTGGTAACTATCGCCTTTGAACATAAACAACACGAATAAACTGACGCTTATGTATATATATGAAGTGTCCGTTCCTGTGGATCAAAATAATAAAATGTTATTTAATTTTTTTTTTCTATGGTTTCTATGAGTTTGTAGCAACTACTTGTTCAGGTGTATACCGCCATTTTGAGATTTTTGAGGTGATATGTATGTTTTTTTTAATGAATGCGCTTGCTTCCATAGATAGTAATTCGGTAATTCCTAAATCGGTATTTTAAATTATTTAATTGAAAAATTATCACTATTGGTAACAATATTTAAATAAAAAAGTCCTACTTCGGTGGACTAATAATACGTGCGTGTAGTATACCTACTATATTTTTCATGTTACCATCATCCTTAAAATAACTAATACCTATATTTTATGACTTATCGGGTTTGCGATTTAGATTAGGTACAAATTTATTTGTGATACACGTATTTTAGATACATTTTTCAATAAAAAATTATCTCCCCCGTTGATTAAAATAATTTTTTGACTACTACTATAGAAGGTTATTCTGAAAAAAAAAAAGATTTCACTCGTGATGACGAGCCGTTTCGTAGGTAGATTTATTAAATTGATTGTCTTAAGGCAATTGAAATTTGTATTCGTCCTTACCACAAAAAAGTTAATCTTGCGATAGTCGTTTATTTAATAAATGTCTTTGAATAAACGTCTTTGTATAAATAATATATCTAACATCTGTTTGTCTAAACAAAATCCTGTCTTATTAAAAAGAAAAGGTATTTAAAGTAATACCTTTTATTACAATAGTTTATACATTTTAGCGCATGAAAACGTAAATAAGTATTTACAATATGTACTTCTGGGTATTTTGAGCTTAGCTTAATTGCTTTTCAATCATTGTCAATACATCGACTAAAGCCATACTAAAATAACCACTCACTGCGTCGAAACAATACATTATTGTTTAGATTTGCGTATAAATGGAAACATATTCATGAAATGGCTGCAACAATACATTATTTGCTATAATACTGAATTTCCAATATCTATTCATCTTTATTTCTAAGAAAAAAGGAGTATAAATAGTAATAATATTTTTTTTAATAGTGCTACTTGTAACATAGTCATGAACCGCGCTCGTAATATCGTGCATCGCCGAATTTAAAACGAGAGTAAAGCCGAATTAAATAATTAAAATACAGTACGACTTACGATAGTTATTATTATAAAATGTTTTTGTTTTACTTTTTTTATTGTATTATTAGCCGTTAATTGTGCTCAGCTGAACATAGGCTTTCCCTATAAGAGGAATTGTACAAGTAGTTGCCACGCTTGGCAGGCGGATTGGCAACCGTTATTAGGTGCCAATTGTAGTAGCTTAGTAAGTTTTGGTGATGTTTGTTGATAGATGATTAATAGACACTTTATTTATTAATAGAGAGGATTCCTTATCATGACTTTGAAATAGAACTTCTAAATGTAATTAATTTGCATGTTAGTTTTAATTTCCAACTAACTTTATGTATGTTAGGTCATCACCTGAGAATTAGCTGGAATTTTTAATCGTCAAGAAACTAAGTTAATTCAAATGATGGCAGTAGGCTTACCTTATTATACCCTTACCATATTGGAATCAATCCCTCTAAACAAATATTCAGCGAATCTATCGATAGAATCGTTACCAATAGCAAGTCTATGAAATAGATTGAAATTGCTACAACTATTCCATCGATGGGTTTATTTGACTAAGGGGTCTGATATGTATCTTAAATATTATTATATTAGATTATCATTATAGAATTAACGAATTTATACTTGAAATGTAGAAAATCTCCGGAATTAAATTTATTAAATGTTATTGACGTATCAAAATTAGTCAGATATTAATTTAAAATATCATTGAATTTCCCCCTTGATGTCTATCGTGGGTTTGTTTGAATTTAAACATTTCAAAGACTTTTAAAAGCGAAACTTGGGAATTTGAGTTCCCTTGTTTCGGAAAATAGAGTTCAAAGCCGACTTTCAATTAATAGGTTGTATTTGAAACAACAGGAGCTCGATTTGTCTATTAAATGCTCGTATTGCTTAATAATCTGTTGTACCGAAATGATAGAGAAAGAAATAGTTAAAGCTTTTATTGTATATTAATTATTCTGATTGTAAATATCAATTCAAATCTTGTAATGGTTGGGTCTTTTGATTATCACACAGGTAGTGTGTTGACGTAATTTTATTTTATTGTTCTATAAGCCATTAACTGTTCACTGCTGAACATAGCCTCCTCCATAAGGGGGATTTTGCCAGTAGTTGCCATGATTGGCAGGCGGGTTGGTGAACGCAGTTTGGCTTTAGGTGATATTTTAAGAGGGACGCTAGTACCCATCTTTTCACCATAAGCTCTTTTAGTCGCCTCTTACGACGCCTACGGAAAAGGAAGTGATGGCCTATTC